GGCTATTAAAAGATATAGCGTCTGGGGTCTTAAAGGCTTGTAGTTAACCAAGCAGCCATATAGCTGGGAAGCAACAAAGCCCACATGGAAGAAGCACACCAGCCTGGGTGATCATGAGGTGTCGATGGGAAGAGGTATCAGAAGTTCAAAAACAAGCAACCAAATTGGTGAGAAGGTGCGTGGATATAGTGGAGACCCAAAACCCACCTGTAAGATCATTGGACAATCCCTCTCAGAAGGGCTACATGGAAGGGATGATAAGTCCAGGGTGCAGCAAAGCACTGATGAAACATATAACTAGCCTCTAGTTCTTTAAAATTTCCTCCCCTTACTGTTATGGTTTTCATTTGTTTTACCCCATTAATCATGTCTGATTTACGTATGTTCATTTGTATATTTAAGATGGTTGGGCACATGAAAGCCAAGCTGGAGAACCCTTAGAAACAATGACAGGAGGAATGGTGCCCTGAGGGCATGGCAGTATGTGTGTGTGGGGATCTGATAGTACTGATGACGGTTATTACCCTACTTGATAGACCAATAGAATTGTATGTGGATGGAGATATTGGATTGTGTAAGATACAGCGACAAACAAATAATTAGAGGGAGTAAAAAAGTGTTCCTGGAGTGTATGGTGTTAGAGGGACAGGATAAAATAGAGGTGATATCAAGGAGTTCAAGAAGAAAACGTTTTGAATATGATTGTGGTAGCAATTGTACAATACTGTGTGATGTGACTGAACTATGGAATATTATATCTGTAAGAGCTCCCAATAAAATGATTCATTAAAAAAAATTATAGAAAAAAAGAAAGAAAACAAAATAGCCGGTCATCAGAAACAAAACCCGTGAACAGAAACAAATCAGTCTGAACCAGGACCCAAAGTAACGCAGCCATTACTTCTACGTGATTTCACTTAACCCAAATACCAGCCCTGCAGGACTAGTAGAGTGAGGGGTTACCCACACCCACCACCACCAAACCAGAATTTCCCACCCCTCCAAGCTATGTATTGTTTTTACAAAACAACCTCATCACCTTCAAAGTATTCTCCATTACATTTATCAAATCTGTGATTCCATTCTTGGAAACATTTTTCAAACTCATCTCCCTCATTTTTTTCTCCACTTCTACATCGTTAAATCGCTCTTCTTTCGTGCCCTTCTTCATTGGCAGAAACAAGAAGTCACACGGAGCGAGGTCAGGTGAGTAAGGTGCATGAGGCATGCTTTTTTTTTTTGCCAAAAACTGGCTCATTGAGATGGTTGTGTAAGCAGGTGCATTGTAACGGTGGCAAAACCTGTCCCGACTGCTACAAATCAGGCTTTTTTAGTTTGTTTGTTTTTATTTTTTTTTAAATCGTTTTATTAGGGGCTCATACAACTCTTATACAAATCAGGCCTTTTTGTTGCACATTGTTACACAATTTTTTCAGGACCTTTAAATACGAAAAAGCTTGATTAACAGTCTGGGTTGGGGAAACAAGCTCCAAATGCACTATATCCCCTTCACCTAAAAAAAGAACAAACCCCCAAAAAACCCCAAATGAGCATCATCTTGACCTTTGATTTCACTTAACTAGCTTCTGGGGGGAAAGGTGACGATGGCGTCTTCCACTGGCTTGATTGATGTTTGCTTTCAGGGTCATAAGAATAGCACCATGTCTCCTCACCAGTAATGACCTTGGGGGGAAAGTCTGGGTCCCTTTGGAGCTGTTCTTTCAAAGCACGGCAGGTTTCCACTTGACGCTCCTGTTCCTGGTCAGGCAGAACCCAATACACAGATTTCACAGTGGCCCTTTTCATTCCCAAATCTTCTGTTAAAATTTGCTGAACTGAGTTCCAAGATAGTCCAGATAACTTCTCCATCTCTTTAATGGTCGATTGTCGGTCTTCAAGCACAAGTGCATGAATTTTGTCAGTATTTTCATCTCATTGGGAAGTTGACGGACATTCAGAACATCTGTCATCAATTGACATTGCACATTTTTATATAGAGAAAACCACTCATACACGTTTTTCCCTTAGCTGTGTTCAAAAGCACAACAGTTCCTATGGCATTTTCCCCCAGCAGGGAACAAAATTTCCCAGCCGCACACTGTTCTCTTCAATCAGCCATAGAACAAACAAACAAACAACAACAAAAAACGAGGTTTGAGTGAAATTGCTTTTACGAGAAAATTCACTGTGACCAGAGAAACTTCCTAGGTGACGCCACTGTGTGCGCTAACACGGAGTGCGTTGCTCCATACTCACCTAGCAGGAAAAATGCGTACCACAAAACCTCTGCCCAGTGGAGCCTTTTCCTGTTGTTTTTTTGGTACCCCATTGTGTACATGGCAAAACCAAGTAACTGCTTGGGGATAATGAATGATTTGGACATTTTTTATTTCTTTTAACTTTACATTTGAAAGCAATAGAAGTTATGTTTAAATCTCTCAGGCCAAGGCATTTATAATTATCAATCATTTTGCTGGGCTGACACTGGCCTCCCAGTGCTCATTAGACTGGTACTGGGTACATCTCAGCTCTTCCACAGAAGGTAACCTCTGCCTCATGAACAGCTAGATACAGGGAACACTTGTATGCTTACTGAACTGACAAATTCCTCTACATTTTCAAATAAACGAATAAAAAAACCAGCCCACTGCTCTCAAATCAACTGTAACCCCTGACGGCTTGATGAGGGTTTCCAAGGCTGTACATCTTTATGGGAGTAGCCAGGAGTGGCAGGTGGGTTTGAACTGCTAGCCTTACAGTTAGCAGCCCAACTCATAATCTATTAGGCCACCAGGGCTCCATCATTTTCTAATAAGCACACGGTGTTTTTTAAAGAATCCGAGTCCAGTGAACACACGGCACATGCAGGTACCTTCTCCAAGAGGCTGCCCTGCTCCTGATTCCAAGTTTCCAGTCTGATAAGCTGACACAGCACATGGCAAATCCCCTCCATCCACCTACTCCATTTTGGACTGGACACAATAGTTACCACAAGCACGCTGCCAGTGGGACAGACGGAGTTATGTGGGCTGCTGGTCAGAAATCAAACCAATCTGTCACCGAGTCCATTCTGATGCATAGAGACCCTGAAGGGCAGGGTAGAACTGCCCCAGTGGGGTTCTGAGATTGTAACTCTCTATGGGAGTAGAGAGCCTCATCTTGCTCCTGTGGAGCAACTGGTGGTTTCGAACTGCTGACCTGGTTACCAGTACATGTAAACAGGACACCAGTAGGGCTCCTTGCTGGTCAGAGGGAAGGACTTAAATCTTACTGCCCCTGAACTGTCCCCTCATCCATACACAGGGATTTGAACTCTGAGGTCCTCTTCCCTGCCTTTGACATCCTGACTAAGCTCTTTAAACCTGACACTGGAATGAAGCGGAATCAACCATGTCTCAAAAGCTGCCGTTCCCGTGTTAGACCATGACAGATGCTCTAACCGGCAACAGCTGAGCATGAAGCTTGAGCGGGACTGAGCGCCAGCTTGCTGCCAAGTGGGCCACCCAAATGCTGTGTGGCTTAAAACAGACCATCTTTTCTAATGCTGATCACTGCCCACGTGGACCATTTCTCTACTAAGTTCTCCACCTTCTCGAGAAGGTGCTTGGGAAAAAGTCATTCCAAACCAGCAACTTCTGAATTGTTGCTGTTCTTAAACCAAATCTCGTACTTATTTAGAAAGCTACCTAAGAAAGGGAAGGGTTAGCAACAGCTTACGAATTCCCTCTCCGTTTGTACTTCCATAAGGAGCCCTGGTGGCACACTTGGTTAAGTAAGTGTTGGATGGCTAACCACAAGGCCGGTGGTACAAGCCCACCAGCTGGTCCTAATGAGAAAAAGGGAGGCTGTCTGCTCCTGTAAAGATTTAGCTTTAGAAACTCCCTGCAGCAGTGTTTCCAAAAGTGGCTGTTACTGCCCCCATTTTGGAGGCGCTGGGATGATCCAGAGAGGGTGCATTATTATGGGCAATAGTACATTTTTAATTGCCAGGAGGCACTGGGTAATTTTCTGCTGAAAAGGGGACAGGGGGCCAGTAAGTCTGGGAACTTACGATCTGTAGCTAGGGTCACTGAGAGTTGGAGTCAACTAGATGCAGTAGGCTTGGTTTGACCTTGATAAAGCCAGTTGCCATTTAGTGCATTTCACTCGTGGTGGCCCCACGTGCTGCAGCGATCTGCTCCCAAGAATCTTCAGGGTTGTGACTTGCCAAGAGCAGAAGGTCAAGCCTTTCTTCCAAGGTGCCTGAGTTGAACCACACCAACAACCTCTCAGTGAGTGGCCAAGTGCCGAGCTGTTTTCTTTCCCCAGGTTTAATGTTAAATATGGAGAAACGAAGTTGAAAACTGGAAGGCAGGTGAGAATCTGTGGGTGTGAAACAAAGGGATGTGCAACGAGAATCAGCTGAATGACCAGGCAGCAGGTAGTGAGAAACCGCCAGAGATCTCTGCTCTATGGCGTACAGGGTTACGTGTTGGGCTGTTCACCACCAAGTCAGCTGTTCTAAACTACCAGCTGCTACACGGGAGAAAGATGAGGCTTTCTAGTTTTGTAAGTTAGCCTCAGAAACCCATAGTGCAGTTCTACTCTATCCTATAGGGTCAATAACGAGTTGGAAATGACTCCATGGCAGTGAGTTTGAAGCTGTGGAAATGGTGGTAAAGTCAAGCCCAGCTACCCAGAAAGGTTACCAGAAAGGTTAAATTGAGCAACGGAAGCCAAGCTTCATTTCATCACCCAAGAACACTTCCTAGAATGGCTAAGTGTGGGCTCAGGACTTCGTAACTGACCCCAGGGGAGATCGGTCAAGCCTGCCCTCACTTAAGATTAAAACCTGATTTCGCCACAGAACACTGCCTGCAGGCCAGCATCCAAGTCACCTGGGAAAGTCTGTTGGGAATGTGGGTCTCCATGTCTCAGCCCAGAATTAATTAATCTAACTGCATTTTCCCCAGCACTCCTGAGAGCTACATGCCCCCTAGAAAGAATACGTGTGCCCGAGGTATAAAACCACACAACTTTATTGGGTCCACAAGGGTGAAGCCCAGGATATTTGGGCAAGCACTCCACTTCACTCTCCTCATCAGTGGCCACTTGGAGGTAGCCTGCAAGTCACTGAAAATCTGGCAAATCACTTAGCTAAAAACCACCCCCCCTAATCCGTGTTCCCTCCCCACCCCGCAGTCGTGTCAGAGCAGCCCTCACTGGCAGTGCAGGAGAGGCAGACTCGGCACTGACCCCGTTCACGGGGAAGATGACACTTAAAGCTTTTCCGCATCAAGTCTGAGTGGCAGGGTTAATTTGACTTTGCCACGCGAAAGCAGGGACACTGCAGAAATTACACGCTTGTCCAGGAAATCAGCCCCACACTCATTAAAAAAAAAAGTCGAAGACACAGAGCGGTAGCAGCCAGGACGTTGACGTGGGTGCACACACCAACGGGCCTCCTCCAGGCCTGTCCCACCCAGAGGCTGCTCCGCGTGGCCTCACGTCGCGTTCCCAGTGTGCCCAGCGTTCCAAGATGCTATCTTGGATGCAGGAGCCCAAGGGTAATGAGCTTCATGCCAAACATAGATGCGCTCGGAGTTTGAAGGCCGTTCTCGTACATTGCACACTGTTGGTTGGGGGGAGACAGAGCTTTTCTTTCTCTCCGGTGAGAGCAGCTCCCACTTGACCGGGCTGTGCCAGCTAGCTCTTCTTCCTCTGTTCCCTCATGTGGGCAGCGATGGAACCGGCTATTTCTATGGGCTTCTTGTTCTGGCCGAAATAATCTAGAAATGCACCGTCGGGGCCAATCAAGTACATGATTATCGTATGATCTACCTGCAAGAGGTGGGGACAAAAAAGACGAGGAGAATCAGCAGAACAGAACTTCATTCTCATCCCTGAATAAGCTTTAGAACGTCACGCTCATCCCTTACATCTCAGGTTACTTATGGGAGGAGCCACATCTACGGGAATAGCAAACGCACCGGGACAAATGATCGAAAATCTCCTGTGTTGCTGAAATCCACACTGGCGACTGCTTGAAATGCCAGCCAGCACATGGGGGTTCAGTCCTGAACGTCCTCCTCCACAGAATCTGAGGAGAGAATCTACCGTCTTAAGGGACTACAGTTCCTGGTTTTCATTAGTCAGTGCCTAGAAAACAGCTCACATTCCTGTGTAAAATACCTCTGAGGGTCCCTTAACCACACTGTAAAGAATCCCTTAACCATGGGATTCACAGTGATGGCAAGATATCACCTTTGATCGTAAGCTCTTGGGTGTAGTATTAAAGGGAAAGTTGAGAACCACTGCTCTCAATCCAAACAGTGTATGTAATCCTGATATTAGAAATGTAAACCAGCAGGCCCAGAAGAGTTTTCTTCTTCCCCTAAGAAAACCCCACTGAGTGATCCTATGGAGCAAGTCACCCCGGAGACTCCTAAGGAGCCATAACTGCTGAACCTCCCACAGAACCATCTTCAGTCACTGACACGTGCCTCGCCTGTACTTCAACTTAAGATTAGTCATCTTTCTTATTTTTTTCCTTGTTCCGATACTTCTATGCTTCCTCAGGAATCCATATGAAAAGGAGCAGTACATTCAGCACTTGAAGAAAGACCTTGGAATTTATTGCAGGCCTGATTGCCATTTGGCAGGACACAAAGCAAGAAGGGAATGTGAATGCACATACCAAAGGGGCGACACCCGCAAATATATCCAGGCACACATTATATGCCGGTGAGGTGACTATTTTTTATACACACACATTCATGGAGAGAGAGCAAATGGAAAGAACCACTTGCCTAGTCACATAAGAATGTACAGCTGGGGAGCGGAAGCAGCTGCTGGGTTAAGCTGCGTCTTGAAGTAATTTATGGGGGAGCAGGACGGTAGGGAGGGAGGGGCGGGTGGGAGAGGGCCCATGCTTTTCCACCCTTCTGATCTAAACATCAGAATCAAGTCATCACTAGTCGCTGTGCCTTACATCTCATTGTCCTATTCCTTTTCTTTCCTTCCTTCCTGTTTTCTTTGACAAACAGGATTGCAGTCAGTTGGGTTTATGTTGTGGGTATCGTTAATGTACATGACATGGGAGAGAGCCAGTGCTTTCTACTCCTGTGAAGAGGTACAGGCTCACAAACCTACAGGGGCACTTCTACCCCGTCTATACGGTTGAATGAGTCAGCAACCACTCAATGGCAGAGAATTTAATTTGGCTTTCAGAGTTTTAATATAAATGAAGGTCTACACAAGCAACCAATAAAAAAAACAAACGACGGTCTCAAAAACTCGGAAGTCAATGCCATCAAGTTGGTTCTGACCCATAATAACCCTACAGGACAGAGCAGAACCGTCTCTGTGGGGCCCCAACGCTGTGAAGTCTTATGAGAGCAGAAATCCCCGTCTTTCCCCCGTGAAACAGCTGGTGGATTTAAACAACTGATCTTGTGGTTCGTACTCAAATGCACAGCCCGCTACACCACCAGGGCCCCTTAAATGACGCTAATACATAAAGATATTTTTCTATCCACATCTGTCATCAAGCACTTCTCAGTATTCGTTTGGGTTAAAGTAGTGGTTCTCAACCTTCCTAATGCTGCGACCCTTTCAAACAGTTCCTCATGTTGTGGTGACCTCCCCAACCATAAAATTATTTTCGTTGCTACTTCATCACTGTAATTTTGCTACTGTTATGAATCGGGCGACCTCTGTGAAAAGGTCGTTCGACCCTCAAAGGGGTCACGACCCTCAGGATGAGAACCGCTGGGTTAAAGGATGAAGAAATCCTCATCTGTTTCAAGTATTAAGCATTTTGAAGTCCTAATAATTCCTAGCATAGAAAAGGAAAGTGGCATTTACTGACAAGTTCCACTTGTCACCTTGACCTGTGAGGTAGACATCACCTCCTTTATGAGGAATGGGCTGCAGAGCGCAGGAACAGGGCAAGTACAACTGCCCACCAGCAGACCGGCACCGCTTCCTCCAGAGGGGCTAGCAGCTGAGCGCTTTAACTACTGTATCACGCAGGGCATAAACAGTCACTTTTACAAAATGGTTAGTCATCTTGATGGTCAGGCTCTGGGTAGAAGATCAACTTCAAGTAGAATTTCTAACTTTAACAAAGTATTCCACTTTAAAAGTAGAGAACCCCACTGCCACTGAGTCTATTTGTAGGGACCGTACCTAAAGGGCCCTACCTAGGTAGCACTGCTCCCTAGGATTTCTGAGGCAGTCAGCCTCCTCTTTATCCCCAGGAGCCGCTGGTGGGTTCAAATGACTGACCTTGCAGCTAGCAGCCCAATGTGTAACCCACAATGCCAACGGGGGCTCCTTAAATGTTGACAGAATGGCCACATTGTCCTCTGGTGAGGACATAGCAATTCAACGAACAATGCAGGCAAGTGCCTGCTGCTCCCAATTCATGCTAACAGTCTAGTTCTACTTCTCTAAATCTGACCATCTTATCGAATTTTCTCACCTCTCCTGATCTAACAGGGGAACATGGCTGCCTGTTATATTTCTTACTGGAGGAAGCCGCTTTTCTTAACCCTGAAAGTCACTGGGGTTCTTTCTTCGAAGGTGTTTTCTAACGATGCACAGAGCCAGCTTTTCTGGCCTCTCGTGTGTCTCTCCCTTGGCGTGTGAAAGTGCTCGGTGAGTTCCAAGCGGGAAGGCAGCCTTTTGTTGCTGGGCTTTAAGGCTACGAAAACCTCAGCTTGCTTGCTCCGTGTGGGCTGTTCATGTTAATAGAAGTTTCACAATAGCACTGGTGAATGAGGTCTGTGACTGGCGGCAACTCGAGAAGCTGGAGCGTATCTCCCTCTGTTGGCAGATCGACAGCGTGCCTAGCAGAGAATTCCTCCGGGGTCTTAGGGCCAAGGTCACGTTCTTATGGTGGTGAGCCAGTTCTTTCTCCAAGAGGCCTGGGAGGGTCAAGAAGTCCCCACAAGACCTGTTTCGGATTTCAATTTCTAAAGCTAAAATATTCAACATCCACATTTTGAATCAACTGCAATACCTTGTAGCCAAGTAAACATCTCAATGCCCACACCTGGGATCCTTTCAGGTTTCTGGCATCTAGCGGGATCCATCTGGTCACAGGCTGACTCAACAGAAAAATGCTGCTTTCTTTTTGAGTCAAGACCAGTTGGTGCAGGCAGACAACCCAGTTGGAGACGTCAGTGTTTGAAACGAGAAGCCTGTAGGGTGCGGTGAGCACCACAGCTCAAACGTGAGACAAAGTGGTCCACCTTGTGGCCCTGGAGTTCCACACAGGGTCTTCGTCCCATTAAAAGGATGTTTGAAATTTGAGTTTTACAGGTTGTTTACGTAAAAAAAAATTTTTTTAATTTATAAAACTTCTCTTTGGACTTCAGGGTTAAGTGCTACCAGTACGAGATTAAGGGGTGTAACCTAGTTTATGACTGTTGAGTTAAAGCATTTAATAAAGCCCCTGTAAGACTGAGGTCACTAACAATTTGCACCCGCTCCCAAGACCATCGTGCGGTAAACACCACCTGCTAAGCTAACCCTCCATGGAAAGAGTACAAGAGTCGGACGGACGAGGGCTTCCCTTTGCTTGGCTCCTCTCTTGAGGAAGCTGCACCCCTGTTCCCCTCACTCACTCATCCCAGGGGGCTGGCGCAGCAGGAGGCCACAGGGAGGGCCCCGCCTGCCTGGCATGTAGGGCTTCTGGGAAGCCTATGAGTTTGGTGACAGGACAAGCGATGTTCTCTGGGTTCCGAGGTGCCCGAGGAGCCAGGCCGGGCGAGCGAGGCAGAGCTCCCGCATGACAGCAGCGAGGCTCCACTTCTCTGGGATCACTGGACGACTACAGCCACAGACCTGGCTCATTTCCTTCTCCACAACCAGCTGTGTGCTGATTAATCACATGCTCCAGCCAATATTCTAGAGAAACCAGAGTAACTGACACAACTGGAAATAAGAATTAAAAACAGACAATGTCAACGCAGTGCGACTGGGGGAAAATGTCCATATTCAGTAGGGAATCATGCAGATGGGGGTGCGTGTAGCCTTTGTTGATGCCTCAGTGTCACACCCCTGACAAGAAATGGGGATTCAGCTGAGGACTCCTGGGGAGTGCTGAGGAAATCAATGAAGTCACTTAATTGAAGAGCAACGGAAGGACGACCTAACTGAAGCGCTGTACGAGGCATGTGAGCAACACCGTGACTGTCTTCGGAGTCGATCTGACAGAAGACCACCACTCACAGCTGTCATCGATTTCCTCCTGGCCCACCACCTCCAGCCCACCCCACACTTGAGGTTGCCCAGGGCCGGAATCACCCCTCAAAAGGGTCCTGGGTTGTTGTTTCTCAATACTTTTCCCCAGCAGGGCACAGGGAAAACCAACATAGCGTTTTAAACTAAAATAACTTTGTCCAAAAAACGAGGGATTCTCTTTATTTCCAAGTTGGTGACTAAACATATTTTACTGAGTCTAAGACACTGCTAGGGCGCCTTGGTGGCGCTGTGCGCTAGGCATTGAATGGCTAACCCCAGGGTTGGTGATTCAAAGCTACTAGATAAAGAAGACGAGACAGGCTGCTCCCATAAAACGTTACAGTCTAGAAACCCTGGTACGCTGGCTGTGGTTAGAACTGACTCAATGCCATTGGTGTTGGTTGGGGTTGAGAAATATCTGCCACTTCAAAAACAACCGATTGCTACCTTATGGTAACAGGACTGTAATTAGCTAGATGAGGATCATTTTTTAAAAATGACTACTACTATTCTTTCAAATATGCTAAATTCCCAAGGACTTGGTAGTGATTTCCTGTGAAGGCCAGCAGTCACTTAGGGACCTCCTCATATCGAATCTGGGAGCGGGCCCACAGGCTGAGACTCTGCGCACGGACTTACTATGTAATCCTCGTCGTCATCTTTGGGGCCAGGGCTGTAGTACACTCGGTATGCTCTGGCCACTCGATCAATCTCCTCTTTTGTGCCAGTCAAGCCGACCAGTTTGGGAGAGAATTCTAAATAAAACAGGAGATGGACAATAAGAAATGAGGACCAAGGCAGGTCACCACCCCTACATCCCCAAACAGCACCCGTCAGAAAGCAGCCTTTCGGCACCTTTCCTTCCAAGTGCCCAGGGGGGTTCTGATGAGTCAAAGGAAAGAATAAGAAATCCACAAAGAACAAAGGAAAGTTTTCTTCGTAATAGATGAGCCAGACCATTTTATGATTACCTACTAAAGATGTGGAGGGAGTGCATCCCATTGATTTAAATCACAGTTTACATTATTTTACTTGTTTTTAAATACTGTTGTCTAGGAGTCCTGGTGGTGGAATGGTTATGCATTGGGCAATTAATTGCAAGGTCAGCAGTTTGAAGCCACTAGTCACTTCATGAAAAAAGGCAGGGTTTTGTACTCCCATAAAGAGTTACAGTCCTGGAAATCCAGAGAGGCAGTTCTACCCTGTCCTACCGATCACTGTAAGTCAGCAACAACTGGATGGCAGTGAGTTTTGGGGGATGTTATATGTTGTCTGCCTGAGATACGCTTGACACTACGATGAGGAGGTAAGCACTACAGGTTTTCATCGTATCGCATGGAGAAAAAGCTGGTTTCACAATTAGCTCAGACCGCCCACTCCCCAGAGTTGATTCGGACTCACAGCCAGCCTATACATCTCGTCTTTCACTTGTGGGATAGCTGGTAGGCTTGAACTGCTGGCCTTTCGGTTAGCAGTCCACCGCTTACCCAACAGCACCACCAGGGCTCCTACAAAGTTAAAACTGCTGCATCTCGCAGGAATCAGGACTTACTGTGACTTTTTGATAAAGACCTGGAGCTACTACTACTCATTCTTCCAACACAGCAATTACAGTTCAGACTGAGGGACATACCTGGTCTATACTTGGTGTGAAATGTTTGGAAGTTAGATAAGCAAGCTGATGGAAATCCCTTAAAATAGCTGTTCATCAGACTCCAAAAATGACTGTCTAATGTGTAACAGCAGTACCTTCTTTCAAAGGTCCAGAAGGCCCGTAGAAAGTTCCTTGTACTAAGTCATGCTAAAAGAGCAGTATAGCTTATCTTTCATTCAGTATACTAGGAGAGAAATAAAGCCCAAGTTGGGACACATCCAAATGTTTGCATGCTATTAAATTTCTGGAACTATAGTGTTTTTCTACATACCAATGTAAACATTTTAACTCCCCAAATGCAACTAACAATACTAAACCAAACTCACTGCCATCGAGTTGTTGCTTTCTCATAATGACAGGATAGAACTGCCCCTGTGAGTTTCTAAGACTGTAACTCTTACAGGAGTAGAAAGCCCCATTTTCCTCCTAAGGAGCAGCTGGTGGTTTTGAACTGTGCAGTTATCAGCCCAACTGGTAAGCACTATGCCAGCAGGGCTCCTGAAACTAATAGTTATGTTATTGATGTGATGGATGGATATTGGCTGAGAAACAGAGAATCCCAGAAAAATGTGCATGTATTTTTTATTGACTATGCCAAGGCACTTGTCTGTGTAGACAAGCGGTTCCCAACCTTCCTAATGCTGCAAACCTTTCATACAGTTCCTCATGTTGTGGTGACCCCCCAACCATAACATTATTTTCATTGCTACTTCATAACTGTAATTTTGCTACTGTTAGGAATCTGGTAACCCCTGTGAAAGGGTCGTTTGATCCCCAAAGGAGCCGCGACCCACAGGTTGAGAGTCGCTGGTGTAGACCATAAGAAACTGAGAAGAATGGGAATTCTAGAACACTTCGCTGTGCTCATGCAGAATTTGTACATGGATCAGAAGGCAGTTGTGTGAACAGAACAAGGGAATACTGCATGGTTTAAAAGCAGGAAAAGTGTGCATCAGGGCTGTATCCTCTCACCATATTTACTCAATCTGTATGCCGAGTAAACCATCAGAGAAGCTAGATTTTATGAAGAACATGGTATCAGGATTAGAGGGAGACTTATTAAGAACCTGCAATATGCAGATGATACACCCTTGCTTGCTAAAAGTGAGACTTAAAGTACTTGATGATAAAGATCAAGGACTGCAGTCTTCCCTACGGAGTAGACCTTAATATAAGAAAGATCAAAATTCTCCAGAGTGGACCAACAGGTAAAATCATGATAAATGGGGGAAGGTGGAAGTTGTCAAGGATTTTGTCTTGTTTGGCTCCACAATCAATGCTCATGAAAATAGCAGCCAAAGATCAAAAGACCAGTCGCATTGAGTAAATCTGCTGCAAAAGACCTCTTTAAAGTGTTAAAAAGCAAAGATGTTACTTTGAGGACTAAGGTGTGCCTGACCCAAGCCATATTTTCAATTGCCTGATATACATGTGAAAGCTGGACTTGAATAAAGAAGACTACAGAAGAATTGATGCATCTGAATGGTGGTGCTGGGAAGACTACGGAAAGTACCATGGACTGCTAAAAGAAGAACCCGATCTGTCTGGGAAGAAGTATGGCCAGAGTGCTCCTTAGCGGCAACGATGGTGAGACTTCATCTTACGTACTCTAGACATGTTTAATTACCAC